GCACCATACAGGTGTAGACCATAGAACGTAATTCTAGAATTATAAAACCTGTGACTTTGCTAGCTTGCGATCCATATTACGTTGATTCGGTTGTCATTTTCATTGGTGTGAAAATGACCTCGACGTGAAGCCCTTCAGAATGTCTCGTGTTGGTTGTCCAGAGCAAAATCAGCAATATGGTGACAAATGTCACGCGAAATATCAACGAGAAACAATACAGACGCAGCAAGCGAATAAAACCACTTCAGTCGGACTCCAAGACTATTCCAAGTGTTCGAGATGCGGCCGGCTAAAAGCTCTCGCTACACATCTAGAATACCACGTTCCACAGAACTTCTATCTGAGCAAGATACTAGCTGTCAGACCAATTCTAAAAGTGAGTAACTTTGAATGTACAGAACATGAGCAAGGCGAACAAAAAGACAAAAACTGTAAGTTCTAATCAGAGTAAACTATGGTCAAGACCTTTAATGAGATAAGAACAGACTTTCGTGGCGCAATGAGCTGCAACTTCATTGACAGCACTAAACGCGTTACATTTCAGAGCAAATCAAACGACTGACTAGAATTCGGCAATATAACTCAACAGTGGTCACTACTGTAACCCTCATTAATTCGTGTAACTTATACGAGTTGAAGAATACAAAGAGCGCACACGTTCGACATTGCAGAAGTATTTGACATTGCTCGTGCCTGCTCAACAACTTGACATCGACGACGTGGTATGTTCGGGCCAAAGTAGAATCAATTTAAGTACTTTATGAGTTGTTCAAATTGCCTCTAGATACAAAGCCAAAATCTTCCAACTCCTTCTATGCAATGGGGCCGTAGAAGCTGAACTTGCCGTTCGGGTCATACTTGGTCTTCAGAGACTTAAGGCGATCCTGTCTCCATTGTTCGCTACCATACCACTCTTTAGGACCCTCATCACCAAAGGCGTAGTTCAGGTAGACGTGCTGCTCAGTGCGGCCACTTCCTTCATGGATGATGTCACGGAGCTGGTTGCCGAGCGTGGCGGCCTTCTGGTCAAGCTCAGTGCCGTTGGGGGAGTAGGTGATGAGAGGCGCGAAGAGAAGATTATCGCTACGATAGGCGAATGCAGTTGAGTCGCTCGCAATGGCCTTGACACCTTCGTTGGAGTAACCCTCGAACATGAAGAGAGAGTTGTTGAAGGGTGAGTTGCCGCTGATAGAAGAAGCAAAGAGATCGTAAGCCTTGCGTTGAGCCTCAATGTTGTATGACTCGACATAAATCGGGAAGCGAGGATTGTTCAAGCCAGCCTTCTGGCACGGGATGGAGTCAAGAGCAATGCCAGTCCACGTGGCTAGGTCAAGGTAGGTTCCCGAGGCTGGAGTGGCAGAGATGGGGCCGATATCCCGGAAAGGCTGAGTGTAAATGGAGTCGACGGTGGTGACGCCCTCCTGGATGACCCAGAAAAGAATGATGGGCTTGGGTGAGATTAGTAGTGCTCGTGGACAACAACAAGATAGTCGAACTCACATTCACTGGGTCCGCATCAGGGTTTCTGAGCCAGTAGGACCAGTTGATGACTTCTGCGGCCTGTGTACCATTCTTAAGGAGGTGCTCATTGGCAGCTTGATAGACTTCCTCAACCTTCTCGCCGCTGAAGATAAATGTCTCCACCGCCCAGTCGCTATGTTCGATGTCATAGACCTTGACGTTAAGAGAGGTCACGATACCAAAGTTGTGACCCGCGCCCTTGACAGCCCACCAGAGGTCCGAGGTCTCATTGATGGTCTGCAAGGTGCCATCGGCCAGCACAATGTTCATAGAAACAAACTGATCGGCGACCAGGCCATGGTGGCCCTGAAGCCATCCATGGCCTCCTCCGAGAGCAGGTCCGAGCGTGCTGACGCACTCGCAAGTTCCCGTTACTGTAGCCCATGGTTAACGATACATTTCGACAAGGTATAAGTGATGGAGATAAAGCTAGAATGGAACTTACCAGTCTGCTTGCCGGCCTTCCACAGCGTGTCGGTGACGAGCTTGGACCCGGTACCACCACCAATCTTGGCGGTATTCCCGTCTGCAGCAACCTCGACACCGCTCAGCTGGGACAAGTAGATTTCGATACCGCTGTCCATCTTGCCCAGAGTGGTGATAGCGCCATGCACGCCATTGTATGCAAGGAAGGGCATGCTCTTCTCGTTGGCGAATTTGACCTGTACGCAGGGTAGTGAGAACCTACTTCGCGCCTGGGTACACTCGGACGAAAGTAGAGTCAGTCACTTACAGTCTCTGCAACGTCGTTCTCAGTTCCAGGAATCACTACGAGGTTGGGCTTAGGTGCATCAAGGTTCGACCACCGGATAGATGCGTTGGTAAATTCGGCAGTGCCCGGTTGGTAGATCTTTGCAGTAGCTGAGAGCCTATCACCGAGCTCAGCCGTATCTCTCGCGCAGATGCCCCCGAGCAGTTGACGAGCGACAGGAACGTTCAGGCATGCTGAGGTGATTGCCCATGCAGCAACGGCTGTAAGGACTTCCATCTTGAATCGATGCATCTCGGCAGGGGGGAAAAGGGCAGAAGGGGGAGCCGGATTGGCAGTAGATAAACTCTTGATAAACCCAAGGATGCAACTAGTAACACAAAATCTGGCCCAAGTGTAACCTAGATGTCAAGAGAGTTCGAAACGAATGTGGTGGTATTGAATGGACAGACCCCTCGTGGTTGAGTGCGCCTGGTTCCAAACAGTCAATCCGTCGACAAGCAGCAGCGCTTCGACCATTATTTATCGTACATGGGAGGTGTGATGGCTTCTGTAAGCCAAGTTTACCGGGCGCAACGCTGCTTGCATTCTTAATTTCGAGCCCTTGCTTGGGTGCCCCTGACATGCATGCGCCCCTGCTTTTTCTACAACGGAGTCGCCAACCAAGTTGATCAAAAGTGGTGAAAGCTCCTCGCAATCCTCGTCAATATCTGTCGCTTTAGTCCGCGTATCCCGGGGAACACAACGACGAATTGTCTAGACTTATGCGCTTTCTCGATGCTGGAATTAACCGCATGTACTCTCTGAGAGACCTCTTTCTTTCCACGCAGGTGACCGAGATGCCTCGATATAGCCCCCCCATCTAGATCCACGTGTCTCTGCCAGTGTTCATTTGTAAGTGAGTTACATTCATTTACCAAACTCCCAATCAGCATGAATACCGCAGCGGAGCCATATCCTTCAAGGTTACTTCGAAGAGGGAAATCGTCCCATGGAGTCCAAGCGTAGCGAATAGTTCCGACCAGTGTTTGTAAATCCTGCGGCCCGTACCATGGGACACCTGTGCAGCGACGAGTCCGACGGCTGCCAACTTCTTAGTGCCAAGTCAAGTCAAGTCAGAGACAAAACTCCGAATACTACCCACCTGTTGCACCTCTTTGCACTCCGGCGATGAGATATATTTCACTCTCCACAGTCCTCCACCATTATTCTGCCTTCGATGCGGCAACAAGACGTTAGAGACTCGGCTGTGCGGCACTTGGGACGGCGCAGCCACAAAATCCCTCGTGCCCACGACTTTTGGGGGGTATCTTCTGTTGTGGAGTACCTTTTCTCGGCGTTGCTCAAGAATTCATGATGCATTTACACCAGGATCAGGAAGTAAGCCGAGGCAGCTATGGCCCAGGAAGGTTGATTGAACGTCAGGCTGGAGAATCTTCCCGAGTCTGCGCCTCACTGTGCCCCTTTGCTACAGAAAATCTGGAAGGCGTCTATCTTTCGGGCCGCTTTGACCTGTCAACCATTCCCTCGGACCCATGTGAAGTCTCCCGTTTCCTTCTCTTCCTTCTAGACGTGTTCTCGGGCATGACCGTCTGATATGAGAACTCTGATTAAAGAATACAGCTGCTCGTGTCTGGGGCTGGGCCCTTTCAACTGCAGCCCCATTTGTAAATCATGGGCCGTGTAGGTCTGGTGTTCGCAACTCGCCCCCGCCCCCTCATCGCATCACCCGAGGGATCCTTCTTACCTTATCGTAAAGAAAAGTATTGGCAGTGGGGGCGCTCCACACCGGGGGAAGCACCCGTGTTCCGCTTGGGCCCCCTACAGGGCTCAAGGGAGCTGTCCACTTCCGAGTCAGGGGGCAGCCATGGATTCGATTCCACCATCATGATCTAGGACCTTGGCAAGTGGGGGATAGCTCCGCGAAGTGAACGCTGAATAGTCCACCGAACGGTAGAGCGGAGGCAAATTCGGCCCAAGACAAGGCTGCGAAGCTGTGTTTGTTTTATCATCTCCAATCTGAGCTGATGCTAGGAGGCCTGCGGATCGAAGTTCGCGGAGGAAGCGGATGAGGGCCCAATTCTTAAAGTAAAGGTATCCTTGCCTTTGATCCCACCACTTCTTCCATCTAGAAACCCTGCAAAGGGCCAGGACCACGGAGACAACTTGCACCGCCAAGGGAGAGATGAAGGAGACCATCGGAAGCCGGATGATGAGCGAGCGTAACATATTCCTGAGCCATCACCGTTGCGGTAGTACCGAGTACTGCTCACCAGATGCGGGATTCGTCCGACGAACATGTTTACAGATCCTTGAAACCTTAGAAACCGCACTATGGCTTGTATTGGTGCATCCCATACATGAAGTTTGGTTTGCACTGTCACAGCTCGGAGATGGACTTATGCAGCAGGAACGGCTGCATGGGTTCCCTGCAAACTCATTCAAAGTCGCCTTGCGGATAGTAGGAGAAACGTCTCCTCCGCCATGGGTTGCATCAGTTGGGACTCTGCACTCCAACTTGGTGCGTTTAAGCCTGTTGCCATGTTTCCAATGATGGATGTTCCGGTTCTGTTGTACTAGTGATGGATCGTAGACCCTGATTCAAACATCTAGACTTCCTCCTTGATTCAGTTCTGCTCCTCCTGGGCTTCAAGGATTTAATACTTGTACGAATGGCACTCCGCACTTGATTTTGCTCTCTTGGTCGGTCGTTTCCTCAGTCATTGGACTTATCTCGACTCCACTTAGTCGACTGCGACAGAATCTGCCAATGTCGACCACCGATCTCACGGACCCGGCTGCACAGGCTGCCGCTGCAGCTGCTGCCGAGGCAGGACGACAGTTCACGATCGAGGCCTGGACACTTTACGGCATCGGAGTGATCGTTACGGCCTTGAGGACGTACGCCAGAGCAAAGGCCGTTGGGATCCGGAATTTTCGGGCTGATGACTATCTGGTGTGGGGAGCAGTTGTATGTTTTCTTGTTGATGATGCTACGACACTAAGCAAAGTTTGTTGCTGATCTTCGTCTCCTTTATGCAGCTTTTTTACACAGTCCAATCGACCCTAGCCTACTCCGTTGGCAACATAGCTCATGGGCTCGCCAATAATGGTATGACAGACGAAGAGCGAGCAGCACTATCTACTAGTGATCCGGAATATCAACTGAGGTAAGTGACATTAATCCAATGTCTGATGTCATTAAGTGAATTGGTGAATAGAGTCATCGGCTCGAAGATTCAGATTGCTGGGTGGACCACTTATTCCGCACTCATCTGGCTGCTGAAGCTTGCGATGCTGGTCTTCTACCTTCGACTTACGGTACTCTCCCTCTCTCATCTAGCCCTATCACATCATATTTACCGACTGACACATGCCCTTAGGAAGGTCTAGGTCGCCGATATCGCATGCGCATCTGGATTGGCTTCGGTCTGGTGATCGGGACATTTGTCGCCTCTCTTGGAGCAGTGTTCTTGTCGTGCATTCCATTCAGCAAGTATTGGCAAATCAGCCCGGACCCTGGTAGTAAGTTTATGAACCCCAAAGCCAAATGTGTGATGCATCCTCACCATTTCTTCTTTAGATTCCTGTCAAGCTGCCGTATCGTTACCGATCATCTGGACCTCCTTCGCCGCGAACGTCTCAACCGATATATATCTCATCCTAATTCCTATTCCTCTTTTATGGGAATCAACATTGAGGCTCGTCAAAAAGATTGCGTCGACCATCGTGCTTGGTGCAGGTATCTTCGTCCTGGTCTGTGCCACGCTGAAGAGCATATTCGTCCTCGTGGTAGGTTTCATCGATCAAAAAAGCCTCTCGTTATAGGCTTTGTTTGTTCACTAAGGCCTTATTTGTTCACAAACTAAAACTGAACTAGGATCCCGTCAATGGTGCCCAACTTGCCGGCGCATGGGGTACTCGCGAAACCTTCGTCGCGGTCGTCACCACGAACCTTCCTATGATCTTTCCTCTCATTAGAACATATCTCAAGCCTCTTTGGCCCAATGTCTTACGATCATCCAAGAACACGAAAAAGGCATACAAGACACCGAGCGGCTTCCAAACTATCGGGGGCGGCCACGGGGATTCATCGCGCCGGACTGGTCCTCCAAGCGCAAACCCTGTTGCCTCCAACGTCACTTTCACCGAAAGCGAGGAACGCATAATGAGCGACGTTAAGTTGCAAAACCTTAGAGGCTCTTCCACGCCTACATCAGGCAAACCGTCGAACGGTATTGTGGTGTCGAACGAAGTTGAGGTCATTACCGAGGACAGAACCAGCCAATTTGGTGAGCAGCGCCCTCAACGAGCACATGAAGCTTGGTAGTCTCGGGATTATTTTTCTTGATTTTTCACGTTCGATTGGTTATAACTTATGTCTGGTTACTTGCTCTATACCAATTTCTATCTTCAATTCATCAATTCTCTATACGTTTGCAGGCGTTGAGCGTTGCCTTATACCGCGAGTAGCATGTCTGACTTTTCCATGCAGTTGAACGCCATACCAAAAGTTGGCTCGACTGTTAAATGAAAGAAAGAGCGTGTTCATTGGTCATTCGAGTGGAGGAAATAGCTTCATTCTTTGTGAAAAGTAGCATAAAAATCTCCGAGGTTCCTTAGACTGACTCGGCTCGCACGATTTGAAACTCTCCTTGGTCGCAACAACCACCACGAAGGTTTCTGCGGACTCGGGGGATTTCTGCCCATGACGGAAGCTTGAGTAAAAGTCTCTTAAGTCTGAGAGGGACTAATACATAAATGACACCCATGTTCGTGCAATCTTTGCTGCTTTGCGAAATCTGTCTGCGCAGAGAAAGTGATAATAGGAATTATCTAGGAAGGCAATTTCAAGACATCCCAATTCATGTCTGCCCTAGGTTTCGGGTTTGAACTGCGCGCCTATGTGTCTGCAGTAGCAGTATTTGCTTGATACGAGGCCTAGAAGTGAAACCTTAAGGTTAAGCCGCATATTTTCAAAACACAAAGAACCAATACATTGCTAACTTAATCAACGTTCACTCAATATTGCGGATGGTGTCTCCTTGGGAGAGGATAGGGAAGCTCTTCAAAGCAAACTCAGGCGCAGCTGAGGCGTAGTCGCAGCGAACCTTCTCCATATCTCCACACAATCCATCAACCTTTTAGTCGAAACAGCCACTGTCTTGCCGGTGCCTGAATGCTACGTTCTGAGGCTTCAAAAACAACTCAACCAGTCGGGCTGGAACAGGCTATTTGGGGCCCACCTGTTATTGCTTGCCTACAGTTGTGGTTCCCAGCGGTGGGTAAGGTGACCAACCGGCCTAAGAGGCCTCCCACTTCCCGGGCCCTCTTTCATCGGTTCTCAGGGTGTACAAGTATCAAGTCAACCCGAATAGATCTCACGATGAGACGATGAGCAACCAAGGGAAATTAGTAAGTGTTCCTGCCTCGGTTTCTATGAATACCTACCTCTGGCTTGTGTTCATAAAATCTCAAGTCTTTGCCAAGATACTTTTGAGAAGCAATGCGTGAAGTCCATAAGAACCGGTAGAAATGAAGGAGACTTTTACTATCATGTAGACATTATGATCCTCCAATAGTCTAGCCGTGGATTCAGGCTTATTTCAGACTATCAGTTTGACTTGGGATACGTGGGTACAACAAAGGGTTGCAAGAGTGTGGGAAGGAACATAAAAGTGAGATTCACGTTGAAAGGCCGGTACCACTAAGAGAATAAGAAATCACTTATTTCAGCAGAGCACATTGCTGTTTGCTACATGCATGAGCTTGAGTTTACCTAATTAGTACTCCATTGCGCACGTTGGTACAATAATTTGGCCAAGATTGCCCTGATTCCTGGTCAACCCCAGCAAACCAGCGGAGCCGAAAAACGCTGCCATCTCTACCCAGCTGAGTGCGCTGTGGTCTACCAATCTCGAGGTCGAAGCAGTCGGATATTTACACGAAGAGTAAATTCTGTTCGGTTGTGAGAACCCAGCATTTCTTAAGAATATTTCCGGCGGTAAAACCTCGCCTTGTGGACTGAGCGAAGTGCGACTACACTGATTGTTGTGTAGAATAAATCCGCTGAGGAGAATAATTAACTTGGCGCTGGCGGTTTTGTTCTAGCATATCTATTTGCCTAAGCTGTTTCACATGATCCTACCTTAGTAATCATAAACGAAGATGGGGCAACTTTCGGGGCCGGAAGCGAATGTCAGCATGACTGCAGTTTTGAGAGATGGTGACAAGCCCGTAGTAAGCTCGAGTAAACCTTTAGGGTGATCCTCCGGCCCCACATTACCGGCGCCGTGGCTAATGCCCTTATTTCCTCGGCGCCGAAATGATGCATGTCACTCAAGGACCTCAAGCCCGATGTTTGAAGCCCGCTAAGTCGGCTTGACTACATAAGGCCTGATCTCACAGATGCTATTTTGTGAAAGCCAGATAGCATTGAAGCTTCAACATCACTTGACATTCTGAACTCGCCAAGTCGCTGACATAAGCATTCTGCTTCTGAAATACCCACACACCACAGGCATCAAACTCTCTGTTAGCGAAACAAATATGGTCGATTCATTCCCTCACCGGCGCGTAGTGATTTCTAATCTCGATCTCGGCTCAGACAATGGCAACGGCAAGACTGAACCTGGAGTGGAGGTAGTCACAGATAACTTGGTGACAGAAAATATGTTCGACGGCCTGCTGCAGAGAACCAAGATTGGGACTGTCTCGGCTGTCCCTGCCAGCAATGAAGCGCTGTGAGTAAATTTCGGCTGCAAGACCGTAACGAATAGAGACTGACTTCGTCAAGTGGCCTGCCGGTCTTTGCTGACGTCCCTGGAAGTGGGATAGTCTTGCCAGGCGGAGTGAACGTGTACTTCTTGGATTTGGCTCCTGGATACACCACCCCGATGGTAAGTTGGTTTCCTTCTCCTAAGATATTCTAGCAAACGATCCAAAATCATTGACGTGTCTTGCCCTGGATTCACCCCAAAGGCTGACTCAATCATTTCAGCATCGAACTCCATCAGTCGACTACGTTGCTGTCACCCAGGGAACGCCTGTTCTTATCACACCAAAGGCTGCTTTCAGCGCCAACAATGATCAGGCTGACTACGAAGAAACTGTCGAAAGCCTGCTTCGGCCGGGAGATGTTGCCGTTCAACGGGGGGCAATGCACTCGTATGCTTCATGTCTCTTTGACAAATAACATGTCATTCTTGAACACCAGAGCTAACCCGTATGGTCTGTGATAGCTGGGCAAATAGAACTAACGAGTGGGTTCGCATGATCGGCATGGTAGTCGACGCAAAGCCCTCCGAAGCTACGGTAGATGGAAAGCGATTGGAGCTTGGCGAGAGATGGCTTCAGTAAGCATCGGCTCGCAAATCAGAAGTGTTTGATAGCAACACTGGCGGAGCGTCTTGGAGTTGTCTGGTGTAGACTAAGTTGTTCATCTGGAAAAGGCTACGGGGAGAGCTATTATGAAAGCAACTGCAGACAGAGACACGCGTCTAAGAAATTATCGGCTTAGGTAAATGACCACACAGTGTATTTGGTCAGTCTAGTCTTTGATATTCACTCCCGGCCGTGGGGTGTATACGAAACAGTTCCTGTTGTAGAAGAGTACACCCGTGCCATCCTCTTTGTCCACGCCGTCTTCTACAGGGACATCGAATAGCTTGCATTCTTTAGCGGCCGACTGATACGAGAAAGACTGGCATCGAGGTGGGCGGCGTCCATCGGTGCATAGCTCCCAGCATCCGTATGCGTTATCAAAGTTTGACCCGAGACCATAGTTCCCATATGCAGGCTTGATGCTGCCCTCAACATTGCAGGTCTCATTGACTGGAGCCTGCGGTGGCCAAGTAGCGAGAGCATTGGCACCAAGTACCAACACTGCAAGGTATTGAAGAGTTGTCATGTTGAAAATGTTAGCGTCGAGGATTGAAGTAAAGCCGGTTGATCGATTCGCCAACCAACTCGGTCAACTAATTATGGCAGGAAAGGTTGAAAGCCTGCCAGCGTGCATGACACAACTTATTCGTATTTATAGGTCAAGAAACAAAGGCTACCCCGCCCAGGTAAGCAACTAAAGTAAGTCTCTTTCTGTCGAATGCATGATGCAGCTGACACAGGATGTAATGGTCCAATTGGTGTTGTCGACATGCAGCCAAGCCTCAGCTCGTATAACCCCTCGATGCTAGTCTTTTGGGGGTTGACTTGTGCTACAGCAGCTGGGCGGAATGGAGGCTTCAAAGTCAGGCTTGATTCGCTGCCATCAAAACGAACGCAGCGACATAATAACAAATTGCGCATGTCTGATCATTCCAGAATGATCACCCGGCCTCGCGTTTCCTGAACTGGCCGCAGGGACGGTCATCACTTATTGATTCTAGATGAAAAATTGCGAATGGGGCAGGAAGCATAAAACGACCTTAAATCCCCACAAAGGTAAAGCACCGTACACGGTACCTGCTCAAAATCAATCTTTGAATAGAAATAAGTTGGCATAATGTTGTGGTATCATCTGGATATCTCAAAGTAGTTGACAATCGAATGGTACCAAATTGCCACAAGATTTAAGTCTAGACCTGCGTGGTGGACAAACTGTAACATGCGAAGACCGAAGCAGAAGCTGAAGCCGATACCAGCGGCTACACTCACGAATGTATAGATTGCGAGTGGAATAAAACGACGAATTTGCCGTCCTGTCGAGTACGGATGGCGTCAGTACAGACGTATCCCGGGTTCCTCTACCCCTGTTCCCAACATCACTTTCTTCATTCGAAGATGTGAGTGGAATGGGATGGGATCAGCACGTAGTTCACTGCTATTCCAAGTATATATGCGTATCTGCTTATGTACCGATGCCATCCAGCACTCGACAGGATAGCTATGTCGAGGAAGAATGAAGAGCCGGGGGTATCGGAACTGAAAAGCTTCGAATTTTGATAGCTTCGTACCGTACTTGACTACTTGGCAGACATGATCCAGGTATTGAAAACGACGACCTTGTCACGCGGCCACGAAGAACATATTTGATGGAACATTTCCGCCCACAAATGGTGGAACAGCTCGGAGGTTAATTGATTTCATCAGCGAGCCCGCCGCTTGCCGCTAACAGTGAAATGTTAGAGCTTCAGCACCCAACATCAAGCCTCCTGTTGGCTCATGTACGTGAACACAAGATGTTGCCAGCCGCGCTGAGTTTGGAACCGTAGTTTTGACTACACGTTCATTAAGAGCAGCATGGAATATTTTCCGCTGTACTGATGATAGAGCTGTTCACGTGCTTAACAACCCTTTACGGACGTCGCCGCGTGTAAACAGGGATGAGCCTAGATGAGGCAGGTCGGAAGCTCTAGAGTATTGCCAAATAGGGCTCTTACGCCGTCAAATGGGGCAACAAGCCTTGGAAATTGCCGTCACAAGACCGGCATTCATTGATTGCCGCGGGGCCTTCAATCGGTAATCGGAACGCATCGTCAGCGCCAAGATGAACTGCACTCGGATGAACCACGTCCACTTCTCTCTTATCCACGTACATTCACCTTCCCCATTGGACAGTTTAGCGCCGCATTGCGTGATTAGGAAAAAGTCTTTACCTCCCCCTTTGGCTTTTGGCAGATCCTTGATTCAATCATACTTCTCAAAAAACTTGTTTGTACCAATGATTTGGGTGGTGGTTCCTGTCGGCGGAATGTTCTTTAGCGGAAACTCGGCGGAGTTTCAGCGGAGATACGATCGAGCTCATTCTAGATTCTCGTCTATCGAAAATTCCGCACCCTTTCATTGCTGTCGATACCTATTTCATCACGCAGCTCCTGCGAAACTTACCGTCGAGAACTTGGCAAGCTGCGAGAAGTTTCGTGTAGATAGCCCGCGCTGAGAGTAATGTGGGCTATCCGGGCAACGTCCGATGCCGTTGTCGGAAGGGAATCTGGCCATGTCAATATGCCAGATGGAGCCCCAATATCTAGACCCTTCTGTCATCCACCGTAAACTCATGACAGGCCACCATGACGGATTTGAGTCTATCCACACACACTCGCATCTTCCCCTGTTGAATCATTCCGTCGCCACATCTGATACGTTCTTCATGCCCTAGGACGAGACAGGTTTTGAGGCCGAAAACCAAGGAGCATGATGCTTGGTCTACGATTACAAGACTCAGAGTTGACTCCTCTAGTGCCATCATCCTAGCAGTGTCTACGCGTAAAGCGGAAGGTAGTGCTGACAATAGAATCGCTCAAATTTTCGAAAAGGTAGAAGCAAGTACCTCGAGGTAGTCGCAAATGTACAGCTGTTCGCTTGTAGACCTACAATTACAGAGAAGTACAACAAGTTCAGCCCTATTGGGACTTAAGCATACTTGTATCCGACGAAAGCCATAAATTTTTATCCTATTGTGGAAATGCGCGTACGCTGTACAACTATGGAGACTCAACATGATGTTCTTTCCTCGGTTTCGCTTTGACGTGGAAAATCACGAAAATCGTAGACGGTTTGGAGAACCCTGACCAGGTTTTAACAAACTTATAAATATCTACAAGTAGTATCATGCAGGTCTAAACCCAATCTCACGCTAACATCGATCTTAATCCCCCCCATAATTACCAGAAAAGGCATTCGCCGTACCTCTCAAACTACAATCATGTTTACAACTCTTCTTGCGGCCGTGGCTATTGCTGCCAGTCATGTTGCACACGCTTCTACCTCTGCAACTCCTAGCCTCCTCCTTTTCTCCAAGACGGCTGGCTATCGTCATGCAAGGCATGTATCGCGCTCCCTATTTATTGTTCTCTCTGTCTAATTAGGGCATTTAAGCTATTAGCATCCCTCATGGTATCCAGCTCGTGAGCTCCATTGCCAATGAGAAGGGTTGGTCAGTCGCGGCGACAGAAGACTCTGCCATCTTCACCAACGGGAGCCTGTCCGCCTACAGCACTCTGGTCTTCATCTCCACGACTGGCAACTACTTGTCAACTAATGAATCGGATGCTCTCAACGATTTCCTTCTTAAAGGTGGCTCCTGGCTAGGCATTCACGCCGGTAAGTTCAAGTTGATGAATGTATTCACAGCGCTAAACTCATGTCTGACGTTTTTAAACATAGCCGGTGATTTTGGAGACGATATGCCCAACTGGTTCACTAAGCTTGTTGGTGCACAGGTAAGACGCAGTGTCGGGTTTCCCACCATTCCTAGCTTTATTGACCTCGCCAAAGTTCCGATCCCACCCTTGCGAGACTGACGACATTTGCAACGACGCGCAAAAAGAGCGATATCCTCCTAGTGAGTTAACAATAAGCTCCGTTGTCAATTGTACACAAGAAACTTCTAACGTTTTCCCTCTCTAGATGGCAACATTCGCCCAGACACCGTCACAATTCTCGACTTTGACCATCCCTCGACCTCTGGTCTTCCAGAGAGCCACAACCGGACGGACGAGTGGTATGCATACAAGACTAATCCTGCCGATGATTCTGCATACAAAGTTCTCGCAAAGGTGGAAGAGACCTACATCGACGAGATCACGCTATCTCCAGAGCTTCAGCACATGCCTCCCATGCACTCAATTGCGTGGTACTCTATGTACGAGGGTGTGGCTAGGGCGTTCTACACTGGTATGGGACACACTAATGAGTCTTATTCTGAGGAGTACTTCGTCAAGCATGTCACTGGAGGGTTAGAGTGGGTCACCGGCACTTCAGATTAAAGAGTGGGCACAGCAAGACGGGATCGACTGGTCCCCATCAAGGAACGACTCAGTCTTGGTTTTTGCGGACAACTTTCCTGTAGTACAAGAATGGTCCGTCATCGAACTCTTGATAAGGGGTACTTGGCCGATGACGGACCCTAGGTTCAAACTCTTAACAGTCTGATGAAGAATAAGTAATTCATCCACATGCTGGATTTGTAGTGATTGTGCATTTTTTTCTTGTTTTCCTGTTGGAAAGATCATTAGACGAATAAGAATATTAGCATTAAGAAAAAACCAAACTTATTTACAGGAAACGATGAGATGTTTAGAACTTGAAAGCTTGGGAAATTGAAAATTAGTTGACACAATGTCACACCATGCTAGACTGACACTAACATGATGAAAGTTAACTTTACGTCCGACGTGTATCTGGGCCCACATAAACCGGAGACATCAAATTTACACGCCAGTGCAGACATAATAACCCAGCCACAGATTGCTGCAACTCGAGTCAACTTGTGTGTTGTACGAAAGGAATTGCTCAAACGTAATGCCCGCGCCGCTGTAAATAGACCAGCAGCTGTCGCCAGACTTGACTTGGTAGAATGTCTTGCAGTTGGAGACGATGCCAGGCATCTGGGGTGTCGGGCCGGTGGAAGGAGGAGTCGTCGGCTGAGTGGTGCCTTGAGTGGTGGTGGCCGCGCCAGGCACGTGGACACAGACGTAGTAGTCGAGCCAGAGGTTAGTACAATCTGTTGAGCGACATGTTAGAGCATTGAAACCGAGCAGTCAAAATGATTATAGGTACCAGCGTTGATCTCGGTGTTCCAGCTCTTGAACTGAGCAGTGCTGATGCCGTAATTGGATGAGATGGCGTCACAGGAGTCACCGGAAGAGACCTTGTAGAAGCCATCACAGTTGGCTGCGAGGCCGGGCATAGTTGGGGAGTTACTAGGGGCCGCAGCGGTGGTAGTGGTAGAGGGGGATGTGGTAGTAGTTGAGGTCTTGGAAGTGATTGACGTGATGGGGGTAGTGCTCTGGGATGTCGTAGTCGTCGGCTCCGGGTCATTAGTGACAGTACCGATCACGCAGTACGACTTGCTGGTGTCTAGTGCAGGACAGGTGATTCCGGGGTTCAACTTCTGGAGATCGTCGACAGAGAGCCCCCAGCTGCTCGCAAAAGTTGCGCAAGTGTCACTTTTACTAGGGGCCGTGGAGAAGGCGCAGTCGACAGCGCGGCGCGAGAGAACTGACCCAGCAGAAACTAATCCAGGGAGAACTCCCGCAGCGGCGATGAAATGAGTGATCTGCATCTTGAGGAGATAATTGGCAGAGAGGAAATACCCTAAAGAAAGACAAGAGAAGTATGATGTTGATGATGGTAATCATGCGACACTTGAACGCGGCCTGGAAGCCCGAGTCTTATACTCGCCTCCGACAGATTGTTTCCTCTTTCCAAAGAGGAACTCAAATTTCGCTAGGTGTAATCCTTCAAGGCAGAAAGAAAAGACTTCTCATCGACTCGACCTTGACAACATCCCACTTCCGGTCATAGGAACCAATTCGACTTCGGAAAGCACAATGCAGGAACTATCATCATGATCCGACTTACAGCGGCAAACGCTCGTCCCCGTTCAATAATATCTAAACCCGAAATCCGCTCGATGAATTCTTGAGTGTAACTCTACACGGCCCTGCCGGTGGCGCAGAAAGAGAGAACGGTTCAGAGTTGCCGAGACATGTCAAGTCTCTCAGGTACCACCTTGGCGCCAAGCGCGGCGTGCGTGATCATTGCTTAATACTGCTTCCGCTTATTGGCAAGGCTGCCGAGAAGGATTCGATACATGTATTATGTAGGCACCCGCGGCAAGGATGATCGGACCAACTAGCCTATCAACTCTGTTGGTTGCTGTCACATTGTAGAAGCAACTGTTTGCGCCAAGCCGGCCAATCGGCACCAACGTGAACTCTCGTGCTTTAATTCAACTCTTTTTTCCCGTCACACAGTCAAGAGACGGATCACACACTGAACAAGCAGGCTGAAATGGGTAGGATGGCGGGAAATAGCCCGGAATAGTGGGGGTGGCTAGGCGCTTTCTTTGCCCATCCATCTGTATAAAATTCCATGTTTCTTACTTTTCCGTGCCTCTTTTTCCCCATCGCAACGAAATTATTGCCTGCCTATCTTGCCCCATCGAAACCGAGGCATCGAGCATCGCCTGCTGCTACCCATCAAGCTTCCGGATCTGGTAGAGCGTCAGCATGTACACAACATTATGGACGACTAGTTGGCGGCTCCTTCTAGCCTGTGTCTGGACCACCCTCGGAGCAACCACCGTCGCAGCAAGCGATCAGTCGGGCGTCGTGGAAGTTGACCTGGTATTCCCCCGCAATGAGACATACGCGCCGACGCCGCTTTTACCCATTGTCTTCGGTTTCCAAAACTCGCACTTGGCGCCGGGGCTCGCTCTTAAGATCGGATTCTCGATATGGAACTACAATAATAAGAGCGATTCGGTCAAGACCACGGAGTACGACGTGAGATTTGCCAACTTCTCCAGCAGCGACCCATACTATGAATACCGCGGCTTCGCCATGTTCAACGTTGAGGGGACCTGGCAGATCAGATACACCGTGTCATGGTTCAGCTGCACGGAGGATTCATTCAAGTACCCATACGAACTTCCCAGCAATAACACGTCCAACGCCATGATTTTCACAACCAAAACTGCCGGGCAAAGTGTGGATCTCATGGCCGCCACAAACGGACAGGATTGCTCATCTGACGCGGGTGTCGCCATCAGCGTGACTGATACGCTCAACTCTACCGGAATCTCAAAGTGGCCAGGCGGCGATACGTGTGCTGTGGTGGCTTCATCAACGGTCACGCCGAACCCTTGCAAGATCAAGATGAGCGAGGCCGACGCGTCGAGTATCTCTGCTGCTGTCACTGCTCGGGCGTGCGAGGCACAGAATCCACCAATCGAATGCCCTTCAGGCAACGATGGTGACGAAAATGCTGCGGATCATGGGTTGGTTGTTGGAGGGGTGGTGTGTTTGGCTGCCGCATTGGGTGCCATCTTCCACGTTTTGATGTGAGAAAGGGCTGAATTGTGGTTGTATTTCGCACCGAGATGACTCAATATGAAAGTTTCTACGATAACTGTGAAAAATAAAGCCGCATTGAGGGTCTGCTAAGGTATCCGAGATCAGGCTGAACAAGAATGCCCTGCGTCGTCCTGCTGTGCCTCCTGCATGGTGTTCGCAGGTGACCATGCTTAAAGGATTTAACTTAGATGAAAACAGGCAACATCAGCATATCATTGGGCTGATGTAATATCAATGTAGCAATATGGGTATGCACAGCGGGAGCGGATGAGATTCAGAACTTTTGCACCTCCGGATGCAGGGGAACATGACTGAAAAGAGATGTGAAAGGGGGGAGGGAGGCGGGCTTGGCGAACTTCGGAGAGTGGCGGTCCATCCCGCTCCGTCGCTTCCGCCAGCCTGTTTATTTAGCTTAACTCTAAGCATGTTGTTTCTCCGGGGTTGGGCGACTCCACCTTGATCCTTCGGAAGTGTTCTTCTTGGAAACTCAGCTGCTGGTCATGCTTGTTAAAGGGGGCAGATGCGTGAAGGATCACTTGCTGTAATGTGCGTCCAACTGCCAAGGCTCTACGATCGAGTTGCCAAGCGTAGAGCCTTGCGAGTTATGCCTAATAACGTAGAGAACTTCGGTAAAAACGGCATACGGAAGGTGATTTTGAGGCAAGGGTCGTGAGACAGCTCTTTTCGCCCCCGAAAAGTGCAAGGATATCGCAACCTCCAGACAGTTGGAATGGAGGTTTCGTGTTGCGTTGAAGTGGAATTTTTGCTGCCTTCTGACCGTTCATGGATTCAATAGTGCTTACTCGCAATTTGAAACTTGTTCTCGATCGATATCATGAGGTTATGGGGGCGGGTTGGGATCAAAGTGTTATCCGAACGGGATTCAGAACTCTGTGCTTGATCGGATTCGAGGAGGATTCATCATCGTGGTTCAAGAGTTGGCTTGGGGGATAGACTTTTGTTTACCTCAACCGAGTGAATAATATAAAGCTGCTGCGCTATCAACAACTACACTTATCAAAACGAGTCAACTGAGTACGCTCCTTCCAATCTTTTGTCTCCTATCTATCTTGCATTTTGACTCTTATTCATCCTTACCATCTCAACCAACTTCCTACCTTCTTTACTCCCTGACTCATATTGTACAAGGCGTTAGCCTCCAGAGTCAATATGCACTTGCCATGGCTCACCGCGGGCCTTATGGCTGTTGCCTTCTTGACTGAAGGAGCCTCAGCGAGGTCGCGGACCGGGCTGAGACTTCCCTCCAGCCCTACCTACAGCAGCTTCGAAACTTGCCCAGAGCGTTGCAGTGTCTCTGGTCCCAATATTGGGAACTGGTCGGTCTATCCCGACTTCAAGCACATGCAAAAATGCAAGCAGACCATGTTCTACCGCTTCTCTCTCTTCGACCCCGTTGACGACAAGGCGGCTAATCATCGCATCCATGCCTGTTCGTCATATGGTCCTGATTTCTCCAAGCTGCCTGCATCGGCCGCTCGCATTCCATCATCAGAGTCAGTCGACGTCGACTTTAAAATTGGATGGTGGCAAGAGGGTTTTGGTCAAGCCACCGCCGGCCTTCGCTCTCTGATCAAACAGATGCGCAACTATGTTGATCATGGGCATGGCGAGACTGATGGACCCTTCATCATGTTTGGTCAGTCTGGACAAGCCACAGTTGGACTCTACATTGGCCAAGGTCTGCTGAACCAAGGCATCGGCGAATCGGCCCTCAAGAATCTCCACGATACCTTGCCTACTCTCAACGTCTCAACACCAAGCCTGGCCATGCAACTTTGCGAGCCAGGCTACGACAGCACTCACATCTTTGGATTGATGCTCTTGAGTAATGGTTCCTTCGGACCGATTCAGGACGCCTTGAAGACGTGGGATAATGCTACTTGCCTTTCCTTCGAGGATTCCATCAGCGTTGGTGGCCAAGTCAAATTTACCACGCCTCTTCTGCCCTCGAATGGCACGATTCCCACGAATGGCACCACCAATTCGACAATAGCCAAGCGTGTTCACGGCACTGCCCACAGCCGGCTCCATGCCCGCGCAGAATGCAGAACTGTGCAGGTCGAATCCGGCGACAGCTGCGCGGCGCTGGCCACAAAGTGTGGCATCACGGCCGCTGAGTTCACCAAGATCAACTCGGCATCAGATTTCTGTGCTACTCTGAGACCGAAGCAGCACGTCTGCTGCTCCACCGGCGACATGCCTGACTTCAGCCCGGACAAGAACTCGGACGGCTCATGCTACTCGTACCAGGTGAAGGCGAACGATAACTGCGACGATCTTGCTGCCGAGTACAGTCTCACGAGACAGAAGCTCGAGGACTTTAACAAGAAGACTTGGGGCTGGAACGGCTGTCAGCTGCTCTTCACGGATACAATCATGTGTCTCAGTGATGGGACGCCGCCGTTCCCCGCTGAGATTGCTAACGCAAACTGTGGTCCTCAGAAACCTGGTACGACGCCGCCGACTGATGGGTCGGATATTGCTAAGCTCAATCCCTGCCCTTTGAACGCCTGCTGTAACATCTGGGGCCAGTGCGGTATCACCAAGGACTTCTGCATCGACACCAACACGGGAGCCCCTGGAACTGCTGAGCCGGGCACCTATGGCTGCATTTCCAACTGCGGTACCGACGTGGTCAAAGGCGATGGCACAGGCAGTATCAGGATCGGTTACTTCGAAGGCTATGGCCTGGGACGTGAGTGTCTCTACCAGGATGCTATGCAGATCGACTCGTCAGCGTACACACACATCCACTTTGCCTTTGGCACCTTAACAGCCGACTTTGAGGTAGAGGTTGGCGACATACTGTCCTCGTACCAGTTCACACAGTTCAAGCGCATCAATGGACCCAAGAAGATCTTGTCCTTTGGTGGCTGGGACTTTTCGACCTTCCCTGACACTTACTGGATCTTCCGTGAGGCCGTAACGCCGGCCAACCGCCTCAAAGTTGCAACGAACATTGCCAACTACATCAAGAAACACAACCTCGACGGCGTCGATATCGACTGGGAATACCCCGGTGCGCCTGATCTTCCCGGCATCCCGCCCGCCAGCGAAGATGATGGCCCCAACTACCTGGCCTTCCTCGTGCTGCTGAAGAACCTCTTACCTGGTAAGACCGTCTCCATCGCGGCGCCCTCGTCGTACTGGTACCTGAAGCAGTACCCCATCAACGCCATCGGCAAGGTCATTGACTATATCGTCTACATGACGTATGATCTTCACGGCCAATGGGATGCCAACAACGCAAACTCGCAGGAAGGGTGCGACACGGGCAACTGCCTACGCAGCCAGGTAAACTTGACGGAGACCAAGCAATCTCTAGCCATGATCACCAAAGCCGGCGTGCCGGGCAAGAAGGTTGTCGTCGGCGTTACCAGCTACGGACGATCCTTTAAAATGGCGGACCCGAGCTGTTGGGGCCCGGACTGCCTATACACCGGCGACCGGCTCAACTCGGAGGCGGCCAAGGGCGTCTGCACGGGAACAGCGGGCTACATCGCCGACGCCGAGATTGCCGAGATCATGAGCGACAGGCGCCGCGCCGGCCGTGTGGTGACGAGCTTCCTCGATGCCAGCAGTAACAGCGACGTGCTCGTCTACGACGACGGCGAGTACGTCGCCTACATGAGCGCCAGCACCAAGAAGACACGCGCGGCGCTCTACACTGCCTGGGGCATGGGCGGCACCACGGACTGGGCGACAGACTTGCAGAAATACCACGACGTGCCCGCACCCGCGAAGGACTGGGCGCAGTTCAAGCAGCTCGCCATCAGCGGGCAGGATCCCAAGTCGGACTACACCCGTAACGGCAATTGGACCGATTACGACTGCACGAACATTTACGCAATGGACCAGCTTCACCGGGATGTCGAGGAGCTCTGGCAGGGTCTCAACGCGGACGCGGCATGGGAGGACGTTGTGAGGATCTGGAAAGAGACGGATCAACCCTATAATGACACCAGTTTCCTCGCTTCTGTGCATGCAACACTCATGATTGAGGCCGGCGCGGACGACTGCGGCGGCGTCCTGGGTAGTGACTGCAGTACAGACGGATGCTCCAAGAGTATGGACGGACAGTACTCGGGCCCAGCGGCGCAGCTGATTTGGAACTCGATCATCACGATCCGGAAAATCCACGCCACATACTATGACGCTCTATATAAGGCCTCTGTAGGCCTCGTTGCCGCGCTCAAGGATATGGAGAACACTTTTGCGCCGATTCCTCCTGAGGAGGACAATACCTGGCTCCTCCTCATCATCGATCTCGTCACTCTGGGAACACTCTCTGCCGCAGGGCCCTTCTTCAACACGTTTCTCAAGTCTCTGCCGAAGTTTGCCAAGTCCCTAGACAACCTCAAGGACACCAGCATGACTCTGATTGGCCAAAGCACAACCATTGCCAAAGACCTGCTGCCAGACGCGGACGGATCAGACTGGACACCTAAAGATCAGGACAAGTTCTCCAACTACATGGGCCAAGTCATTGACGGCTGGGCTGCAGTTACGTCCCTCGCCCTCACCAAAATCTTTGACGGCTCTTCCGAGTCGGTCAGCCTCATTGGCAAGGCCATCGCCAATGGTAACCTGTATCCCAAATCGGTCAACGGGACTGTGGACGCCACTACGCTGTTGTCGAACATTCAAAAGTCCTATTTCGCCTATGCCATCCCCGCACTCTGGCATGCCTCGAGCGCGTGGGCGTTCGTCATTGACTCGGGCTACGGCTGCGACGCATCGAACCCGCTGGATGACTACCTCTCGGACGAGACCATGAAGGCTACGGGCGCGTGCTACAATGGGAAGCTGTACTACCTCGCCAGCCCGGACGGCGACGCCTACGAATGCTCCGAGGGCGGGTGCGTGGACCAGAAGTTTTCGGCGCCCAAGGGTGTCGGCAAACTGGGCGACAGCTTTGGCGACGTCACGAAGGAGGACCTGATCAAGGGCGCGGTGCGTACCTATCTGGCTAATGGCGGCAAAAACGGTGGCGGCTTCGCCAACGTAGATGACGAGGGCGTGCAGGACGACCTGCTGGACGTGGACGTCACGACGCCGGGCTTCATCCGCATCCCCGTCTGCAGCGCCGAGCGCGCGTTCCAGAGATGGGAGTCAGCGACGAGGGACGAGACAAAGGGCTCCACCGAGAACTACCCGTGCGACGTGCCGCCGGGCAAGGACTACTGCGGCTTGTCGTCGTTTGAGGACCAGACGAGCGGTGCGTCGCCGAGCGCGAGCGATTGTCGGCAAATTATCAAGAACATTGAGGGCGACGGGGGTACCGACTGGACGACTCAGGTCGTGGGGAAGAACCAGCGCGAGATTGCCAAATTTGGCGGGTGTTCTTTTGGTGTTGAGGCGACCAAGGTTGATGGCAACGTCGAGTTCTACGTCGGTGGGCAGGATGTGATTGATATCATAAACACTGCTATTGAGAAATTTGAGAATAGTGACGGAAAGGTGGGAGCCAAGGGAGACATGGACTGTAACGGGAACAGTCACCAACAGGCGGTGAAATGGGGCATTTACTAAGCTTACCAGGACTTGGATCTAGGGGTTGAACTGGTGCCATACCTTGGCAACTGTTTTCTTTGTAATTCACATTCTTCTGTACGTATTTAGCATTACCTTGGGTCTTTGACTATCGAGTCATATGTATTCTATCTTCGTTCCTGCGTTGAAATCCCGCAATTAGCTTGACCGCGTCTTGAACTCTCGGTGAGCGATCATGGATGAGGTTCTTCTCTCAGGCGGAGAATGGCTTGGCTGGAATGTTACCCAGCTGTGCCAGCACGAACACCTTGGACAACGCTACAGACAAGCAAGACATGGAGCGTGCGTATGAACTCGCTACAGAGTACTAGGTAGGTGGCCATAGTGACTCTAGTAAGAAGCACCATATGTCATGATTCTACGCTCTTCCATCTTCGAGGATGGGTAATCGAGAGTTGTCAGGACTGAGTGAATAATGTCCAAAGTGTTGTTCCTGGTTGGGTGAGACACGGGCATCCTTGCTGCTGCTGCAGAGCGTTGTGCCACGCCGTTGGGCCTTACGCTCAGGCACCGATACAGATCGATCGAGCGACATTGATCATATGCTCGAGGTGAGCCATCAATGGCTACACTGTCTCGTGAGTTCTCGTGAGCTCTCGTGATGTGGTCATCGAGCTATAGATTCACTTCAGATTCGTTCTGAAAGTCTGGCTGTCTTGTTTTCAAGACACGTTGGCGAGCTTGTTCTTCTCAATGGGGAGATTCCTGTGCAGGGCCCCTAAACTAATCCTATTAATAGGCGCATTAACCCCTCATTCAGCTGATAGTAAGGCGGCTGCACCCGCACCCCCCAACACTGTTAGCACAGCGCAACATGGACGCTCCTGGGCCGAGTTAGGCTTCATGACACCCTCCTTCTCAAGCAGCTGTTGCAGAAGACGACGAGCTGAACTTGATTCTCATTCCAAGAACGATGTTGTCCCATTGAGCAACGTCAGAGGGGGGAGAGAAAGAGAGATAACGAAAGAAGATGACTGATTGATCAGCAACCCCGGCACGCCGGTGAAATAATCCGTGCCGAAATGGCGGTGACAACGACGGGTCCTGTACATCATGTACTCCTAGGGAGGGGGGCACTCTGGGACAACTCACGTCTGGTTGGAATGGCGGCGGGGTGGAGACGAGAACCCTCACCGCGGCCATTGACATCGCGGCCGACGCATGGCGGTGGAGGTTGGGCATCATACACCGCGCATGATCCATAGTAGCGACGTGGCGGAAAAAGTAGAGAGAGGCAGCAGCCAGCCAGAATCTCTTCATTCTGTTTGGTCTGCTGCTCTCTCTGGTGCAAGCGTGGCTGCAGGTTTTCCACGAGACCGCTCTTCACGACCCTCGCCTCGCCTCTTCTCACTCACCTCTCACCTCTACTCAGACAAGCAGAGTCTGTTCTGTCCCTACCCGAGGTGATCCCTCCCCCTTGTTGCATCTCGCCCTGCCTCATCTCAATCGTTCCGAAATCCCAGGCCCAAAGGAGTCCAGTCAGCCCCGGGTTTCTTGCTGCTCTATTGTGGTTCTCGAGGTTGGGTTAAACCACTACCTAGGTACTGCATCCCACCGCTCATCCCACACCCCCAGTCTTGAGTCTCCGTCATGTTGCAATGATTTGACCCATTCTCCGTACCCTTTCTCTTACCTACCTTACCTTGCCTCGACCTTTTTTTTCTCTTTGGTCTCCGCCAGAGCTATCCATACACCATACCGACAATTGAATCTTTAAACAACCCCCTTTAGAAACTCTCTTCCCTTCCTTTTCCTCTTCCCTCTTTTTCCTGTTCCTGGGATGTGTGGCAAGAGATGGTGATCGGGAACCGAGATTTTTCGACTTTCAGGAGTAAGAGTACCAAGAGCACTAAGAGTGACTCGGGGAACGGGGACGATGCGTCCATAGGCACGCACGAGAGCTCGTACGAGCACCCTCTGGGTGAGTACAAACCGAGGATCAACGGTCTACGAGATCACCAGGTTTTCCCCTTTCTTTTGCTAACATTGAGGCAATCTCCAGCTCGCAAAGGTTACGATATTGGCCCCGCGTCGAGATGCGAGGTGGGCGACGTCTTTGAGTTCCTCTGGGCAGACTCGCACGAGTTCGAGTGGGAGTGGAAGTGCCTTGGCTACACGCGCTTCATCGTCCTTCGACACAGCGACACTTTTCCGCATTACTGCCACTGTGTGTAAGTTTTGATCATCTCCAGTCTCCGACCGCCGGTATCCCTCTGTTGATGTGGTTGAGCTTGTTGTTGCTTTTTACCCCTCCTCATCAACGCCCCTCATCCCACCAAACCCCCCGTCGGCAAACCAAATCAAGCCATAATCAAGCCCAAAACTTCATCTCGCTAACCTCCGATCGACGATACCACCAGTCCCATCTCCACCCCCACGAAAAATGACTTCCAGAAGCCCGGAATCGACTCGAGCCAGCAGGGTTACGTCTTTGACGAAAACGACCGCACCCCGCCATTCGATCGTCTCCCCTTCTCCCCCGTCGGCATGCAGCTCCGTCCGGGCAAGTTCCGCGTGAAAGAGAATTCACGCGCAAACTATGCCGACGTGCTCGAGATTGATCACGATGCACAAGTCATGGTCGTCGGCGACGTCACGCGCTACTTTGACCGGGTGCGGAGGAATGTCAACAAGGCCGTCATGCGCAACGTGTTGAAAAAGGCGTTGGAGCAGTACCGCCAGGGCAAGCTCGTCGGCAAAAAGGGCGCCAAGCTCGAGGCGAGCGTCGTCAACGGCGGTGGGAGCCAGGATGACGAGGAGGAGTTCAACTTTGACGAGGAGCCCGAGGACGGAAGCGATCCGGACCATCCCGATGTGTTCCTGCGACCGGATGAGACCTCGTCCGTCATCGAGAAGCGGAAACCCGATCGAGGAGACCGTAGCGACCGCAGCGACCGGGAACGCGACAGAGACCGGGACCGGGAACCCCTCGTCAGCGCAGAAATGCCGCCACCTCCGCCCCCGGCCCCGCCGCTGCCGCCGATGGACCTCCCGTCCCCGATGCCGATGCAGCAGCCGTCGCCCCCGCGAGAGCGAGAGCGCGACGACGCGTCCTCGATCCGGTCCCACGCGTCTCGAGAGAGAAGGCATTCCCGGAAAGAAGCGCCCCCGCCGAGAGGTGAAGACCTCCCGCGGAAAATGTCGGATCACCACGTCGACGGCGCCGCTCGGCCGTATAGACAGCGCATCGACCTCCCGCGATCCCGGAGCCATCGGGCCTCTGAACACGAGGTCTCTGCTTCAATGTACGACGTCGCTACGGCCAGAGCGGACTGAGAAAAAACCATGAGTTGTGACATTGGGATCTGATGGGTGATGAGATGACGCGCATTTCTAGGATGATGATGATATGGTTACCATCGATCGATCGGCTCTTGAAACGGGTGCTATGAGTGGCACGACGGCGGCTCTGAATGTCTTTTTTTTTTCTTTCTCTAAACATATCATGATTGCATGCATCAAATGCCTCTTTTGCCGTTTCCCTGCTGCGACTACAACATCAACATCAACAAATAACGAGAATCCGCCAGCATTCACGGAGTACAATTAGACTTGTTTGGTATTTCCTTTTTTTTGCTTGTTTTTCTTCACAATCATCATGATCTTCAGAAGACACATTACAAAAAAACTGTACAAATGATAATCAGACTGCGAGTTTTGTCTCCTCTCCTCTGCACTCAAGATCTCACGATATATCCAGGCAGCTTACCGATTTCACTGTGACTGTTGAACTATTGCATCTAGAATGCATCTAGAAGAAGATGGAAGGATGCAAGATCCGCTTGGGTAGCAATTTGGGCAGCAATTTAATACCAATTTCCTGTCTGGGGGCCCCGCGGGCGCTAAATGCGGCAGTCTGCATCGTCATGCAGGATGATTCACGATCCTCTCTCACCAACTAGTCGGACCAAAGGTCTCATTCTCCCCCACCGTCTTCAGAATGGCGCCATACGTGGAGTCCTATATGCAAGACACGATTAGTTGAAATGAGCCTCGACGTCAGATAGCGTTGCCAGCAAGCGCATTCACTTGCGGGCACCCGCGTTTCGCGGGGAGAGCGAGGGAGGAGGGGCAGGGTCCCCATTCTCAATTTCACGATGTATATGCAACTTACCAAGGTATTATATACGTCGACGTTTCCCCACCATTGTGGGATCGTGACGTTGGGTAACGTGATGGCGAAGAAGATGACAATGGTACTGATGATGAGACCAGCGTCGAGCGCAGCGGCGGTGATGTAGTTGTACGTCTTCCACCACCCGTGAAACCTCTTGCGCACGCCGTGGTTGAAAATGAGTCCGACAATGGCCCAGCTGGAGAAGCTGAGGGGCGTCGCAGGCGGGAGCCAGCCCATGGCACCGAGCATGACGGGCGCGTGGAGGACCTTTGCGAACTTGAGGTTGAGAACCTTGGCCAGCACGTAGAAGACGATGGGCAGGCAGGCGCCGATGAGCCAGAAGTAGTTGAAGTTGTGGTAGATGGAGCCGGCGCCGAACATGCGGCGGGGACCGATGACACCCCAGACGATGGAGGATGAGAAGAAGGCTCGGCCGTTGGGGCAGGTGAAGTGTGCGTGTTGTGTGCTAAGGTCAAAATGTCAGGTATCAATCCTTCGTAGGGTAAGTAATCATGAGGCTCCCTTTGGATGGACTCACAGTGCACAACAGTTTTCAATATTGCCAAGCGTCCAGTTCATCACGGCAATCTGCACAAAGACGGCCCAGATGGTAGCCACAACCTGACACCAAAATGTCACGCGAGGCGGAATCTTCATGTAATGCGCCATCTTGAGATCGCCAGAGTACGTCTGCGCCTGGCCGAGAGTAATCGTGCTGTACACCTTGAAGATCATGACACCAATCGGCTTCCCGGGGATCATGAAGCCCGCCAAGAATGGGGACAGCACGTTGAGCGCGAGCCCGAGGTTCGAGATGGCGAGGATCGTGCACGTGGGAATCACAAAGATCATGGCCAGAAAGTTGGCGACGAAGAAGGCCCACCACGGCAGCTGGGAATCGTAGCCCTCCGCCGTCGCGAGACCAAGACCGATGGCGAAGAGCAGGAGGACGGCGTACCACCACTCGGGCGCGTCGACATACTTCTTTGCGAGCTTGAGGTGGATGTCGGCTTCCTGGTTACGCGCAGCCTTGAGGCGATACCAGATCTCTTTGCCATGGAAGAAGCCGCAGTGGACTATAGCGGCGGTAAGGGCGGCGAAGGAGAGGCCGTAGTTGAGGGCAAAGGTAGGCGGAAGGAAGAGAGGCGAGTACTGCTTGTACTTCTCTTCTGAAAAGGTGTACCCGGGTCCGAGAATCTTGCTGACATTGTAAGAGCTCTGGGTGTTGTCATAGGTCTGCGAGGTGTTGATGGGGAGGTAGTCTGCAAAGAGGGCGCCCGAGTAGGCGATGCCGATAGTAGGGATGATGACGAACGTGAAGAGGCCGATCAAAACATTGACGTGGGTATGTGTCGGCGAGAGGAGGGGGTCGCCGAGGTAGGCGGATACATAGGTCCAGTCAAACGTGATGGGAATCAGAGAGAGGCCGGTGAAGCCTCCAAAGAGCTGGTTGACGACGATATTGTTCGGCTTGATCCAGGTGACAAAGGCAAACACCGATAAGCCTTGCCAGAGAACACCCGGAATCCAGTAGTAGCAGAACATGGCCGCGAGGACGTAGAAGAAGTACCGGTACCGACTGATGATCCAGCCGTTGCTGTGCGTGCCGTCGCTCTTGCTCTTGTCGTGGAGGGCGTAGAAGAGGGACGTGTTGGCGAACTGGTTGGGCCAGATCATGGCCGCCGGCCAGACGAGGAAACGGCGGCAAAGGCCCGCGAGGCCGATGCCGATGAGCTGAGAGCTCAGCGTGAAGAGCAGCTGGAAGCCCCATCCAAGGTTGATGTCGTAAAAGGGCTTGCCTTGGAGCGCGAGGAGAGCGTCGGTGCTGTAAGCGTAGCCAATGGAGACGTTCGACATGAGAGTAATGACAACGTGCTCCTTGATCGTAAAGGGGCCGGTGTTAAAGGTCCATTGAACGCCAAATGTGTTGAAAACCTTCATTGGCATGGCCTTGGCCCAGAGACATCCAATTGGGTAGACCAGCAATTGGACGATGATGGATGGGAAGTTGATAGCGGGACTCCTGTGAAGATGGAGTAAGAGTGTCAGCCATTGATGTTCAGGTATCCCAAAGTTATCATCATCTCAGTTCCACTTACCTCATGCTCAAAAACATATTGAGTCCGCTCCCAATTGTCACGAAAATCATACCCAGGATCCACGCTCGGACCGTGTTTGCGACTTCACCACCATCCGTGTTGCGTACAGCAGCACGTACTTCCTCATAGGGCGAATCCTCTGTCAAGATGGCATCGGCGGCAATGATCTCCTCAGAGTCGCCGTCCTCGAGCGCTTTCTTCACCATGTCGGCCTTGTCCTGGGGCAGATTAGGGTCCCATTGATGATCACGCTGGAAGTTTTCGAGATCGGTCGCCGCTTGCGTGACGTCCACGCTATGGTTCTTTTCGTCCGCCATGGCGGCTACTAGGTGTGCCTCTATTATCGGGCGTAATGTTGATGTTGGTGGCTACTGCAAGGCTCTATGCAGCAAAGGTTCACTAGCTAGATCGTCATAGCCCAATGGCTGATCGATTTGGGGTTTCACGGACGTCGGTGGCAGCTTGGGAGGGACCAACATCAAGATCAATGCTTCGCGATGCATGTACGTACGCGCGTCTCACATATAAGTTGAACAATTTGCGGATCGATTGAACTCAATCAAGGTCCCAAGAGGGAAGTTGCCTAGGTTGCCGGGAGCCCGAACGACGTGATAACGGTCACCAGGACCATCTCACCGTAACGTACCACGAGGTATCGTTATCATGGATAAATGGTCTCCTTTCTCCACCTTCATAGTGCGGAATGGTGGTGTTCCCAGGCAGTTCGTGTTATCTCGCCCGAGGCCGGGGGCGGGGTGGCGCCGTTTATTTCCCCGGAAGGAGGGGGGAAACGACAGGGAACATGGAGGATTACGTGCGGTTAGGATTCTTTTGGAGGAACTTATTTGAGCGAACCCCTGCCCGCTTATCGTCTTGACAAGTCTTGTCCCGACGCGGCAATGCTTGGTCCAATTGGCGTTAAACTCAAAACAAAAAGTTCCCAACCGTCGGGGGGATCCCCTTGACAGCATTGAACCGTCGGCACGTTGCAACCGCGTGACGGCCGAACGACTAATAACGAATCCTCGTTCTTACCCCGCCGGTAGATAAGGTAGCGATTCTTCCCCCAACACGAAGGAGTTCGATACGGATAACCTTTGCCCATGAAAGATACGGATATTGTGATAAGACGGAAGGGGTCCCGCGGGGGGTCTTCCGACGAACAAGGATCTCGGACTGAAAGCCCGGGTAACCCAGGTCTGGCCGGGAATGTCACTTCAAGCGTTTATTTAGAGAATCCCAATTGATTGCAGCGAAATCGTCCGAACCCAGCGCGATGGTGTCAATTGGCCTGAATCACGCATTGATTTTCCTTGAATCATTACCGCTATCCAGGGTGCTGGATCTACAACACCCCAGATGACCTCGAGTGTCCAGCTGTTCCGCCTGCTCGGTACTATCAGCGTGTAAACGGCTAATCATGGAGCCCTTGCCTCGAGGTAACCCTCAGTAACTTGCATGAGGTACCTTGGCTGGCGATACTGCTCCATACAGCATGCCTGAGATCGATCCAACATCAACAGTCTAGCACATTGACCTCCAGGGATCATGATGCAATGACAATGATAGCTCAGTGAGAACGAAGCTCGCCTTTTGCTCCTCTTATGAGTTCAGGCTTTGAACACAATCTCAGGCTTTGAAACTTCGTCTTGAAGGCCTTGAATCAAACATAGAAGCAGTCTACTTCTTAGTATGGGTCTCTCGCTGTCGTTGAACATCCAAAATCTTCCTCAACGCTGCATCTCGCTCTTGAAATTGCTCCGGATTGGGCAGACCGTAGGCATCCACAGTCTGCTGCACAACTTTCGCATCCCACGTCGGCCCGTCACTCTTCTCTGTGCCCTCTGACTCATTCGTTGCCTTTTTCTGGAAATTCACAGGTTCCGAACTATCCCATACCCCTTGAACAGTCCCAGAAAGGTTATTCAAGAAGGCCTGGATTCCAGCTACCCCGCCACCCATATTGTACGACTTGAAGATGCCTTGCACCGCCCATCTGGGCCCAAGGCTCGCTTCCATAATGGTGTCAACGTCTTCCGTGCTGACGACGCCCTGATCAACCAGTGAACAAGCTTCTCTGAGCAGCGAGAACGCCAATCGGTTTCCTACGAAACCAGGAACCTCTTTTTTGATAACCACAGGTCGGTGGCCGGAACTCAATTCAGCAAATAACTCTTTGGCAAACCTAACTTCGTCCGGGTTTGTAGTCGGTGACGGGACAATTTCGATCAAAGGCATGATGTGCGGCGGGTTGAAAGGGTGAACCACCAAAAGACGAGTCGTATCCACCATATCGCGGCTCTGAACCGACGCGGCGATACCAGACGTCGAGCTCCAGAAGTGTGCCTCGGCAGGCGCAAAGCTTTCAATCTTTGGCCATACTGATCGCTTGAAATCTGGATTCTCCGGACCTTGCTCCTGGACGATGGTGGCGCCGTCGCATGCCTCTTCGAGCGTGGTGCAGATCACGAGGCGGCCGGACTCGCGCAGGCGGGATATGCCCAGCGAGGCATCATCCGAGTCGATGTAACCCGGCAGGACTGTGGAAAGGTGATGTTCGAGGTCTGGCCTCGTATCAAAGACCCTGACGGTGCTCTTTGTATGTCTCAGGTAAAGGGCCGCAAAGGAGATGCCGATGGCTCCTAGTCCGACGAGGGCGACGCGCTCGTTCACGTCAGATGGCATGGTGACGATGAATTGATACCAGGAAGTTCAACTGAGTGCCGCTTATGTAATGGACTGACTTGCCGACTGGAGAAGGTTAAGGATTGCCGCGAGGGAAAGCCGTCAGAAGAGAAGCTCGTCAAGTTGGGGGAGACTTGCCCCGCATAACGGAAGTCTCCCTCCCGGTCGTTTCGGAATTCCGAGTTTTTGTCCGTGACTATCCAAACGCGATTCCCTAATGCATAAGACAGGGTGCAATGCAGCTACCGAGGTCTACTTTGCTTGGTATTGGGAGCACGGTCAAACGCTCATAATTTAAAGTAGTGACTGCTTCTAAGAGCAATAGTAGACGTTGATGGCACTTTAGAAGAATCAATGATAGGCAGAAGTGTTCACTCTACTCAAGCGATGGTCATCTGCGAAAAAGTATGACATGTTTATTGTCGGGAGAGTTGCACGACACATGGGAAAAAAGGGATATTGTAGAATTGACGGAATTCCGAGAAACTCCGTGAGCTAACGACCCTGATGTCGATGTTGACGCTCTGTATATTAAGCATGAGCAAACTCTTTGAAGATGTAAAACCATCCTTGCCCCCTTCACTCCGTCTCCAGGTCAAACCATAATAGTACTACAAGATCTCTTTACCTCAATAAGTCCATATTCCAGACCTACCATTGCTTGTATATCACCATCGTCCACAATGGTCCAATACCTCAAATCCAAAGCTGCTACAAATGGCACCAACTCCACATCTCCGCTCGATGTCCCAGGGATTGTAAGGGGCGTGATTGACGACATTCGGGCAACTGGCGACAAAGCTGTTCGGACTTATTCAGAAAAGTTCGACAAGTGGTCGCCGGCGTCCTTCAAGCTCTCTCAATCAGACATTGACTCGATCGTTGCCAAAGTTCCGGCCCAAGTTATTGCCGACATCAAGACGGTTCAGAACAACGTTCGGACATTTGCTCTGGCCCAACGAGATTCTCTGAGGGAATTTGAGCTCGAAATTCGCCCAGGTGTTTTTCTTGGACAGAAGAATATCCCTATCGATCGTGTCGGCGCGTAAGTCTTTCAACATGATGTGTAACAAAACGGCCGATTGCTAAAAGTCAAATAGTTACATCCCTGGAGGACGGTATCCATTACTCGCGTCCGCGCACATGACAATTCTTACGGCTAAAGCAGCCGGGGTCCCCAAAGTTATCGCCTGTACACCTCCAATCAACGGGCAGATACCCCCTTCAACCGTGGCGGCTGCATATCATGCGGGAGCTGACGAGATCTGGATCCTTGGCGGCGTCCAGGCCGTGGCGGCAATGGCCATTGGTACCGAAACTATGGACAAGGTCGACTTCATCGCGGGTCCCGGTAACGCCTTTGTAGCAGAAGCTAAAAGGCAGCTCTTTGGTGAGATTGGGATTGATCTTCCCGCCGGACCGACTGAGATCCTCATTGTCGCCGACGACAAGGCGGATCCGACAACCGTTGCTACTGATCTTCTTTCTCAAGCGGAACATGGGCCGGATACTCCGGCAGTCCTAATCACCAATTCGAGGACCGTAGCCCAAAAGTCCATTGAGGAGGTTGATCGCCTGCTGAAGATTCTGCCAACTGCACCGCTGGCCTCGGTCTCTTGGAATACCTACGGCGAAGTGATTGTAGTCGATTCTCTAGACGAGGCCTATGCCTTGGCAGATGATTATGCAAGCGAACATGTTCAAATCCTGACGGAAAAACCGAGGGAGGCCCTGGAGAAGATGAGAAACTACGGCGCTCTGTTCCTTGGGGCCAAGACTTGCGTTTCCTATGGCGACAAGGTACGCCGTCATCCCGACATCCTCGGCGTCTCTGTTTTATGCTGACATTTCACCAGTGCATTGGTACAAACCATGTCCTACCAACGAAGAAGGCAGGTAGATTTACTGGGGGGCTCTGGGTGGGAAAGTTCCTGAAGACTGTTACTTACCAGGAAGTTGTTTCCGAGTCGGAGAGCGGAGAGCTGGGTCGATTGTGTGGTCGTGCTGCACGCGCTGAGAACTTTGAGGGTCATGCTCGCTCTGGGGACCTCAGAGCCAAGCAATTTTTGGGTGACCAGTTCGAATGGCTAAGCAAATAGGCACACCATGGAGTCACGTGTATTCATCCGAGAATTTGATGCGTTATCTCAACCTCATTCAGTTTGTGACGTAATAGATAGGTGACGAATAGTTAGTACATGTACTATTCTATCAGATTGAACTTGCGGCGTGGTTCTTAGTTTTGACTCAAAAGTCGTATCTTTGGAAAGCGTCGAATTTACATGGACTTTACCCAGGTACTAGCAGCTTAAAGTGTCAAGGCGATTTTTGATTTCACATAGCCTGCCTGCCATAGACAGTGTACTTGGGTTGTGCAGGTATTCTAGGCTTTTTGATCGGCTAGCCGGCTATTGTTTAGAGTAAACTGAACCCCATATGCTCAAAGTTGAACGATGGTAAGAATGAATCCCATGCTAGGTCAGATCCCTCCAAGATGTCCAAACCCAAGGTCTCCAAGCTGTCCATGTCGACAGTATCCTCTGGAAAGTTATGGTTGCCATCCATGAATCCTTGCAGACTTGTGGGAAATGCTTCAGCAACTCGTCTTGCCGAATCCCATGCATCATTTGATGGCATGGCTCTACTCAAAGCTCTAGCTTTCCGAGTAGAGAGAGTCGGGCTGACAGTCGTTTCGCGCTCACGTCCGTCCGCAAAGGTCTCTGATTGCCTCTCAGCAAGCTTTCGGCAATTTTCGACAAACTTGGCCAATCCAGCCCCCATCCAACTGACAAGGTGGTACCGCGTGCATTGTATGGACTGGCAGGTCTCTGCAGCTTTCGACACATGGTCAAAGGCTTCATCCTGGTCCATATCCAGATGGCGATGATGCTTTGTTGCGACTTTGAGAAGGAAGGTGCACGCATATGCTATCATCGTGTGATTGTAGTGTGGCAATCCCACCAACCCTGCTTTGAGATCTGGGTCGGTGCTGATAAGCTCGATCGTTGATCTAGCGGACTCGACCGTTCCGTGAGCTAAGTCGAGAAACTCCATCGGAATCGGATCATCGACCGGGTTGGACGAAAGTCCCCGAAATACAAGGGAACCGATGAACAATTTCGCGAAGTGATAGTGCAGACGAAGATTCTTCCGGGGGAAGGCTCCTATCTGCCTCTCAATATCGCGTTGGGCTGCAAGACACATGACACAGTCAACAACTGCCGCTCACAACATTTTCACAAGTCACCCTCAACTTACTTCTGTATCGAGCACGCCACAAATTGTGCCATCGGTCCACCTCCAAATCGAATTCCTCAAGCTTCTTTTTGAATATTCCCGATATGCGACTGTCATCATTCGAGCCGAACATATAGGTGACTTTCTCCAATATCGACAGCAGTTCCAGCTGACTGGAAAGACGGGTGTCGGTGCTCGAGCTGGGGATGGCACGAAGATACTTTCTCCATCCTTCCACAGACGACGGATTGCCAAAACTTGACGGCCTGCCATACAGAATTGAGAGGTGATGGTCGCAAATATAGAACAAATACCACACCCTCAAGCAGCTGAGTACATCTTCTCGGTCCTTGAGCCTAAGACTGTTGGAAAACCTGTCGTCGAGTTGACTGGTGCCGATGACAATTTCATATGACTTATCGAGCTGGAACTCGATAGCTCGGCGAATGGCAAGACCAGACACTGACCATGAAAGATCACTGAGCCAGAACGAAGCTATGCACAGTCCCTGAAAATCGTAGAGATTCACATGCTTCTTGAACATGAAGTCAGACACGAGCTTGCGGAGCCGAGCACTGCAGACGCGGTATAGTTGCTCACCCCCGTGTTCATGCAGAGCCGAGACTGTGCAGATTGCCACGAATAAGAGGGAAGATGCGCGGCGCACGCTGTCCAGATCTTCAAACCGACTCGTGATCCCGTAGAGGTAGTAGTCAGTTCGCTCCAGAAACCTCTTCACCAGACGGTCTGCATCGTTCCGCTGAAGGCTTCCTTCTGTGATGAGGTCATGAGGCTCTTGTGAGAGTGGTTGAGCTGCCACAGGCGCTGAAGAAACAGCTCCATTCGCATTGGCAGGCCTCAATCTCGTGATTTCATGCAAGGAGCTGATGGGCGCTTGACTCAATGGCTCGACAAGGTCATCACTCTGTGCACATAATGAAACGGTTTGCTCTTCCATATCTTGATCCTCATCTTCGATAAGGGTGCCAGTCTCATCCGGATGCAAGCCCTCAACATTCAGCTTTCCTGCAAGCGAACTTTTCAGAGGCCCGAGCAGCGGCAGAGATCCTTGTTGCAGAAGGCCGTTAATCGCTGTGTGCAGCATGCGAATATCATCCACCATATCCGACCTTCACAAAGTATCATGTATTAGCGGCGCAACTCATCGGACATGAGATGGGCAAGCGAACCGATTGGGGCTTGCATCATTGGACCTCGGCTCAATCTCTCGAGCTGGCCGTTTGAAGATGCACTCAATATTTTTCTTCCTGCAATGCTGGCATGGCCCATCTCGGCCGCTCGGTAAGCATCGCACCTTCAAAGGGAGGTTAGCGACGCGCTAGTTGAAATGTCACGCATGCCAAATGGTCGGGGAGCCTGCACGTGCCTTTTGCTTTTGACAAGAGGAGCAGGCCTTCATTCGGGAGCTGTACGCGGCCCGGTGCAGTCTCTCCGGCTTCTTGCTGCGAGTTTCCATCATGAATGGAATGTTGAGCTGTCTCAGAGAACATGAATCGGGGAGAAAATGTTAGAGGCGCGGAGTTGACCGCAATGCTGAGACCCCGTTATGCCGTTAGGCCATATATCCCTATAAGGATACTTCCCTAAATGGCCTAGCCATGTGTCTGAGTGACCCCCTCCCTTTTTGCTCTCCCTGTCTACATGATGCCCTCTAAGAAATGACACAATGTATACCAGAGCATTAGACCTGAGCTCTGTTATAAATAATGGAGATCAAAATGGTATCTGGTGCCTTCCCCGTTCATTCTACTTACAGTGGAAACTTCTAAAATGGGTTCAAGGCGCTCAACACGTTGCAGGTGACTGCGCAACGAAGATCTCAAGTTCATCTGTCGATGTTGGCATGGGAATGGGTTATTCATATCTGCTTTTCTTTTGTCAAATAAGGGTTTGCGAACGGAGTAGAGTCAAATAGATAGGGCACTGCGCCTAGTACGCTTTAATGACCGGCAAGAGATCCTGAGTACGAACCCGAGCACCCGACTTGCCGACGGGGGGCTCGCATATCCCCCGTTTGCACTCGTGGCTCCAATTGATCCTCTGATGATTTTTTCTCGGTCCCTGGTGAATCAAAAACGATCGAACGACGGGCATTGTCACTTGGAGAGTCTCCCTTCTTTGCAAGCCAACCACATCGACCCCACCCACGATTTCAATACGTAGACAATAGTCTCAGTTGTAGCGTACTAAGAAGCTTGTAGCTCTGCTTGCCGGAACGTATGAGCGGGCCGACACTCGAATGAATCTCGGCGAATCTCATCCGGGCAAAGGAGCGCTCGCACTTTCGAATCGACATCACTACCTTATTACAGGACAGGTACTGGATGTATCGTCTCCTTCCTCCAATCATAATATCAATAATGTGTAACCGTAATTTGCACCTCATTCAGTGGCTTGAATGGCGCTCTAAGGTAAGTGAACAGATATAAAAACTCTGGCCCAACATCATCTTGGCACGAACTTTCCAATCCTTGAGCAAACTAAACCGACCCTTTCTTGCTTTCTACGTTTACAGCTTAAGACCCACGGGGCCCAGCTCCTTCTAGGCATGGACTACTATCGTATCAACTCCTTCGGCCACACATGATGTCATCAGCCTTGTGTAACGGTACAGCATACCATTTTGAGATGTCTGACACGCAGGCTCATTTCCCATCATACCAGTCATTGACCGGTTGACTGCTCACGCCTCACCTCGCCAAGGTTGCCTCGCCGAAGCATTATGCCGGAACACGGATTGGGTTTACTCGATTCCTGGCCGAGACTCGTTTTATCCGGGAGGCCAACACCTGACGGGACCTGACCTCGGCCCGCTGATCGCGCTAGCTTAGTGCGAGACACAACCATTCCCCATCTCTCCAACCTCCAGTCAGCATCGACATCTACACGACCTTCGGGGCGCGAAACAAGAATGCCGTGTAACCGACTGAAAGGATTTGTTTCAGGATAGTTGATATCCCTTTCTTCTGCTCACTTCTCGGCAAGACGACTTGTACCCATCCCAAGTTAACGAAGAAGGCAGCAAAACGTTTTGCAACGTAAATTCAGCACTGTGAGTGATCCGTCGTGAACCAGAAGAGGAGTTTATCTACGGGCATTTCAATCACGATATATCGAGAGGAGTATTCATTGCGTCATTATGCTACATGTGCCATGTCGGCTCGGGATGTCCTTCGCTTCACGCTCAAATGAAGAGCTAGACTGGACATTGAAGTACTATGATTAGTCAATGTAAACAAGAGGCAAGTCCATGTACAACCTCTGAAAATGCGTCCTCATATCAAAAAGAAAGGAAGGGGCCACTCATAGTCTCAATTGGGGTTGCACAAGGCGAAGTATTATTTCCTCGAAATGCGGCCTCTAGGGTCCAGTCGACTCCCTTGCCCTGCTGATCTTTCGACTGGTGTAACCTGAACCACTACCTAGGGGCTTCGGTGGCCCACCAACGACAATGGTGCCACGAAGCTTGCGATTAGAGAGAGCTCTTCTTATCAACAAAGACTCATCCAGAGCGACGAAATGACATCTCGATATTCAGCGATGTAACTACGTCCACAGACCCTGCTAGTTGGAGGGAAGAGGCGCATGAGGCTCATTGGCATCGCAACACTAGAAGGGGTCTAAGAATGAGCCTACAAATTGCGATTCGAGCTTACTGCTTGCGTTCCACCACGCTTTCAGGATTTCTTTCTGGTAAAAGTAATTCCAGCCGAATGATCAAGAGCAGGAGGCAAAGGCGTGCCTAGAGCTTGACGGCTGTTCAGCTCAAGTTTGCATAGACCGATTCAGACTTTTGTGCTCGATCCAGAACACCAAAACCTCTCGATGGCTGCACTGCGAA